TCTGTGTTCCTGCCCCCCCCCCCACTTTTGTTGTTACAATGTTCTTCGCCTTCTTATTCTTCTACTGCTTCATCTGTAGCTCAGATGTTCCTGTTCTGAGAAACTGCATACCTCATGATTTTCTTAGCATATTATGACAAACATCTCAATACACACCCTAAACGCACTCCCAATCGATATCGTTATCGGTTAGTCTCTGCCCAATTCCGGGGAGGTATGAGGCTTTCACGCATAATATCAGTATACCGTTGTCGTACTGATTTCTACCTCAAAACGATGAAAAGCGAGTGACCAGACCATGAATCGTACCAACGATATTTTCTGTAAATCAATCATAGATTCTCCGAATGAGTTACACACAGTCAACGCGAGGCGATTTTAAATCAGCGGATAAATAGCCGTTGACACATGAATAATATTAATACGAAAACAGCGCATTTCGCGTTATCCTACCTCTTGAACGTGATGCTGGAGGTTGCTGTCAATAAATGAAGCGGAAGCCAAGGCAAGAAAGTTTGCGAAAAGGCCCAGAACGACGCCGCGTATTCTCAACAACTTGAACGCCTGCCACACACTTGCTCGTTCAACCACACCTACACACTTGTCCGTGGTAGTAACACTTTTGGGGAGAATGCTTACCGCATACCGGACTGTTTTGGCACAATGATACATGCCAGTATTCCTGCGAAGAAAATCAAGACGCCCAACGTTGCGAATGGCAGCATGAGGTGGCCTAACTGAAACGACGTCAAACGATATTAAACCGTAATAATATTAGACTTAGTAAAGTTCACGGTTTTTACTAGATTGGAAAAAGCGAAATATAATTGAACTATAGAACTATAGAACTAAAGTTTACGGTTTTTACTAGATTGGAAAAAGCGAAATATAATTGAACTATAGAACTATAGAATTAAAGGAGAAGGTTAAAATATTAGTACACAAAAGAATTTAACAAAAAAGCCCCAGCATGTTGGATTTGCTAGCAAACTGCTTGTTTTCAATACCGGCAATTGCGGTAATAACAACATTATCCTGTCATGGAGGCATACTCACTGGTGCTGAAATGTGTGTTTGCTCGACCCAAACGTGATCATTATCATCAAGATGCTCAAAAGCCATGAAATGGAGGCGATCTGGCCCTGCGGTGGTGAAGGCTTTTATGCGCTCGAACTGCCGTAGGACCTATATCGCCGAGATGTTGTACGAATCATCGAACCGTAGAAAATAACTGTCTATCGGTCGAAGTTCAGAGACCTTCTTTCTGATTTGAAGATTTCACATGAGAGGTGCCTCAGCAAGTACTTAGAAGCCTCACCGTTACCTGGAAAGTAAG